GGCTTGCTTAGGAGCTGGAATGAGTTTTTAGTCTAACTAGACTGAATTTGACCTTTATAACGCCTTACTTCAGAGCTTAACTAACATAATCCAAAGACCAGCACAATGTTCCAGAGTGATAATATATTTTGAAGGAGAACGAATACAAAATAAAACCCTAGTGAAAAAATGTGCTTATATGAACGGGGGAATACAGCGACTACTGATGCAGATGAGTGATAACTGAAGTTCTTATAAGTGCTACTGTTTCATGTGATAACATATTTGCGGATATGGTGTGATGACTATTTTGAGGCCCAAACAACGATAACCCCATTCATTTATAATTAAATCACAAAGAAAAACATTCGGAAAATAGATTTAGGCAGATTTTGATTGGCTGTGGGCTAGCTGGCTTCCTATTGGTCCAAAATATAAGTTAAAGCTGCAATCTTTTTATTTTGACTCGGAAATTTACAGTCAGTATAATTAAAGGCTTACCTTACCATTATATAATGGCGTGTTAATTATTTTGGTGTTAGTGTAGTGTGACAGTCAGACGCTATTTGGATGCATTGGTGGTGTTTAAACTACACTAAGATGTATGAGAATGTCTAGTAAGTGAATATAAACCAACAATAATTTCGATGCATTCATTTTAAGTCCAAAATAGGATGTATGCATTTTTGATTACTAAGCAAATATAATTTAACTACAATTTCTAAAAATTTAACGCGTCCTTAATTAGTAAATATAGACAAATGTATGTATTAACTAATCTACTTTTTTAAGTTTTCAATTCAATGACCTGTGGGATTTGTGCATACTAGGTCAGCATAAGTCAAATGGCTGATTAATACGATTTATCACTTAGACCGCAGCACCACCAAGCTTAAAACAATTCTAAATTTATTCTAACCTATTCCTTAATAATGCCTTTTTATGGTAACTGAAGATCATATTTACCCACTATGTTCTGAAATGAAACAGGTCGTGCTTAAAAATACAGTTGCGTGCTGAATCAAAACTTCCCGCTCTGTAAGAACGCTAGTCCATGCTTAATATGTCCTGTGAGGGCTGTAATAACGTTGATAAACAAACCCAGTGGGTTCGATTTAGTGACACTCATGCTAAAAAGCCATTGTTTGACAGTGAAACTACAATTGCAGTTGTCTTCTTAATAACTCCTATGACCCAATGTGTATATTCCGAAATTTGTGAAACTAAATAAAGCTGATCTTTTTCAAAGTGGGACTCTGTACAAAAGTGCAGTAGTTTATTTCGTCACATTTCGTAAAGCACACTGTAAGAGACACAAAAATAAGAGGAAACTATAATAAGTGATTTTTAGCCGTGTTACCAATAGTCTAAAATCATTAGTTCTTAACGTTTCAAGGGTCTTTGCCACCCTACTTGGCTCAGTCATATATTCAAAGTCTTCATGGGCTGATATAATCTCAACCTCTAAGACTTCCAATCCGTTCCTTTATTAGATAACATTAGTCGGCGAGGAAGGCAGTGTATTGGTTTACGTAGAATGCATCCTAGCCATCTCTCTGAATACAGCTTCACAACCTCATAAATTCATTCTCTCTAAGGCACAGGATATTTATAGTAACTTGTTGTTGAAGGTTGAAAGATATCAAACAGGTTCTTCTGTGTTGTAGAAGAACAATTTTGTCGTACGATACCTCAACTGGAGTTAAGTAACGGATGAAAAGCGAAAAGAAGCGTGATCACTAAAGTGTTTGTGAAAATAATTGTCGCATCAGCTTTTACTGACTCTTCATGTTATTTACTATAAAAGCGAAAAATAACTTCTAATCAAGATTAGCCCTTCTGTAGAACTTTTGAGTTTAATTGTAAGATTCCCAGTGAAAACATTGAAACTATTGTAGTAAATACAAAAAGACAAAATCTTAGGATGACATTCTTTGAAATGCTACATAAAAAAGTGCAGTTTGATAATAAAATAATGAATAGAGGAAATATGGACAAAGTGGCAAAGGTGAATGAAATGTTTGGACTCACGAAAGTGATAATACGGGATAAATTCATTTGGCTGTCGTAAGTTTTTAGCCACATTGCGAATATAGCCATCTACTTCACGGTTAGAAATTTCATGGCATTTCATGAATGTCACGGAAAAAATTTATAATTATTCCCTCAAGTTCCGAGTGTAACTTCCGGCTTCAACAGTGCGTCTCAGTTTCACCCTGTTTCTTACAGTCCTTTTTGCCTAACTCCACGATTGCCCTTAAGCTCCCATCTTCCCACATGATCTCTGCCATGTCATTCTTGGACGACCGATTCTCTGTTTCTCATTCGGGTTCAACTCGAGGTCCTGGCGCGCAGTACTATTCAATAATCTCCTCAGCGTGTCCAGTATATCTCCGTTTTCTTCGGATTATGTGTTGGGCAATAGGTCCTCAGCTGGTTCGTTTCCAGAGTTCCTTGTCGCTACACCTTTCCAGAGAGCTATACGGTCTTCACTATCTAATCAATGAAGGCAACTATTGATGAAAGTCTGAAGCTTTTTATAAGTGTTTCTCGTGACTCACCAAGTTTCTGAACCATATAGAAGAACTGACGACGGTGACGTTGAAAATACCCATCTTGTTCCTTATGCTGAATGCAGCAGGCTGCCTCACTGACTTTAGAGCAATAAACGTTTATCTTACTTTTCCGACCCTACCTTTTATATCCTCATCTGTGCCGTTTGTAGTTGAAACGGTGATGCCTAGTTAAGTGAAAGAGGTGACCTTTAGATTTCTCCAGTTGATAATGATTGGTGTGTGTTGTTGGTTGGCTATCTTCGTCACCTCTGCATTCCTTGTGTTCAGTTGAAGTTTTGTCTTTGCTACTTCTTCTACCAATTTGTTGATTTTCACTTGTAGTTCTTTGAGTTTTCTTGGCATTAAACATGAATCATCCGTTAGATCCCGGTTTTCTAGAGTCTTCTTGTCGGCACAATGTATTCCTATCTTCTCACTTCTTATAAGCCTGTAGCATAATCCAGTCGATCACAAACAAGAATAGCATCGGTGATAATAAGCACCTTTGTTTTACTTCTGCCTTCACTTTAGAGGCTTTACTGAGTTTTCCGCTGTAAATCACTTGACATGTGGCATCATTATATTGTTGTTGGGTAATTGGATGATGATTATTGTAGCTTTCCAAGTTCTTGAAGACTATAAGAAGTATGTGTGTAACTTGTTATCTCCATTATTTGGCTTTAATATAGTAAGTCCGTGGAAGACATGAAAAGACTAGCTGTCTTTGATCATAGGTGCCTGCGCTCTATTTCCCGTGTAAAGTGGCATAATAAGGTGAGCAACATTGAAGTTAGGCGTCGAGTTCTAGGTAACCAGGGGAAATCAATCGATGAAGTCGTGAAGTTACAAAGACTGAGATGGTTAGGACATGTGTTACGTATGCCAAGTCATCGCCTCCCTCGACGAGCAATGTTAGCGGATATAGGGTCAGGCTGGAAAAAAGCTAGCGGCGGTCAAACGAAAACTTGGCACCAGTCAATGAAATCCACAACAGTTGGTCTAAGCCACGTAGGAAGGTGTAGACTTCCAGGCTGGGGTCCTCGGGACGGTAAAAGTCTATGGTTGGAAACAATTGGTGACATGGCTCAAAATCGTTCTCAATGGCCGGCGCAGATGCATCCACTCCTTGTGACTTATGATCTCCAATGAAACTGTTTTGTTCTTCGTTACTACTATTCCTTTGTCTCACACCTCTGCTCACTGTCTCTATTATGCTTTTCTTGTACTTTCTTCTCTTGCTTCGCGTGCTACACGGAGTGTGGCGACTTGAACTTCCGCACATTTGTGCAAAGTTCTATGTCGAAAACAGACAGACAAACAGACAGTAAGTCCGTAGTTTGAATCCAGCTATATCCACCATCAGAAATAAATTGTAACTCATAGTTTAGCTTACAAACAATGTGTACCGAGTGACCAGTTACATTCTGATTTGCCTATCATTACCTAATGCTGTCTGACTAGGGATTGAGTCAGTTGTGCCATAGTTTTATTGTCCTATTATACGACTTTAACACAGGTACAGCAGACAAATCTCTAAATGCTTAGAATAACTGATAGCTGTTTGTTTCACAGCATTGCATATAGTTTGCAAAGTAACCACAGCAACACACGTGTTGCTCTTAGTGCATTAGGTAAATCAGTGAAGAAAGTTGCCTGTCTAAACTAAATTGTTCTTTTCCTTGTATTCATTTTTGTTTGATGTGATATTCTATTTCTGCATGTTTCTTTTCATGCTCTCACCAGACAGCATTCTACTGCTGGTGATTGATTAGCTTCTCTCTCTTTGTAGTAGACTTTTGTGAATCAAGATTACGTCAACAAATAGCTGCTACTTTTTACAACATTTCATATAATTAATTTAGACACCGATTCACCGATTTGTTTTACGTTTTCATTTGCGAAGTACTTTGATTTACCATTCTGAAGTTCTAATTAGGTAATTTTTTAATCAGGATATCCAGGATTTCAGACACATTTGATTGGATACTGGTGCAACTAGTAGTCTAATGTAAAAAGTCATTTGCGTAATGCTGCAATGTGTTCAGCCTTTCTTAGCATTAAGGACGTGTTATGAAGGCTATATTTACTCACTCATCGCTTTGTAGCCTGCACCGCTGTTGTAATTTATAAAACTTTACAGATGAATTACTGTGCCTCTGAAAATTTCATCTTTTTTTTCAGAATGTTTTCACATACCTATGTATGCTTTAATCTACAGTCATGAACCTATTGTAGAATGTCTTTCTCAGTCATAAATTAATTGGTGGTTGATACAAAGCATGTATTTCCAGTAGGGGATACATTTCAGTGAATGGTAACTTTTCAAAGTTTCTCTCAACCAAAGTTTGTCTTTGTATTAGTTCGTGAAGGACTTGCCAAGTGATAAGTCTACTAAATATGGTTTTGTCTTTAATTTTCTTTTATTAATCTGAGTCATATTGTCCTTTATGTTCTTTTTTAATAAAAAGGCGAAAAATTCAGGAGATAAATTGGCGTCGAAAACAGGAGCAAACGGCTGCTGGTAAACACCTCAAAGAATTAGAAGAGACTTGGGTTAGCTTGGTTGGCAAGAATTATGAAATTGAACAGGCAATATTGGAACTAGAGGAAGCATTGGGTGTATCGCCAGAGGATATGAATAGTGAAGATCAGTAAAATTGTGTGTGATTATACATAGCCATAAATAAAAGATATCTCAGTATTCTAACTGATCGTTTTGGTAACGCACATGATTTATCAAATCTTTTTATTTATTTATTATTTTATTCGTTTACGTTCCCAGTGGAACATAGGGCTTCAAGCCTTGAAGTTATAGTAGCAATGGTGTTTATTTTTGCGGGATGGCGTTGCTAACCTCATGCCCAACCTTTACTCTTTGCCGATTTTATTACCGGCTTAGAGAGGTAAAGGAGTGCGCCGGCCGAGTATCGAACCCCGGACCACATGCATGGTTGGCGCGCATTCTACTGCTGAGCCACCAACGCACATGGCATATCAAAACATATGGAAAATCCCCTTAGTAACCTATTATAAGTACTTTTGTGTGGTAAAAATCAGTCCTGTACCTTATCTTCTATTTATTTATTTCAGTATTTTTGGGAAGTGTGTTTACTGAAGCAATTTTACATAAACAAGAAAACGAGCAGGGACGTTTTTAGCTTGGTGGTACATACTACTGACTAGCGTGAATAGTTGGAAACCACCTGCATAATGCACAAATGCTTGCTAGTGAGATCGAAGTTGTCTACACACTGTACATTTGTTCCACTCGTTCGGCGCCTACCTTATTACCGTCGTACCCACGTTGACTCATCCCAAACAACCGAATTGTGTCTAGCTATTTGAGTTAATTGGTTTGATAGAATCACATTGATCATTTGCAAATAACACAGTTTCAGGTGACAGTTCAGTACAATTTCCTTTTCATATGAGTGTCATGAGGCTACTCATGTCAGTGATGACAGTCTAGGGGAGATGGCTAAACCCTGATTCCAAACCTCCAACGACTGGCGTATGAAGCTCACCGGCAGACTTATGGACAAAGGGCTTATTGGATGCCCTGGATGTCTGGCCCCATTCAAAAAGGCGTATGAACCGGACTCCGGTCACCGGCTGGCTGCCAATGGATAGTGGACTCCCTACTCCACTCCTACTGCCTTGTAGGTCACACTTGGTTGTGTAAAGGCTAGAGCTGCACTCTCAAACAAAAGGCCGAGCTGTGCTGGGGACATCACTCGTACCTAATTCCCATGAAACTTCATGAACTCTCTACAACATCAACCAAATTCCAGTACTGGTCCAACAACGTCGCCTTCGGTGGTTTGGCCATGTTCTGCGCCGACCAGATGACAATCTGGTCAAATCAGTTCTAAATCCCTCACCATTTCCATCTTGGCGATGTCGCAGGGGTGGACAGCTGAAAATATGGCTTGGTACAGTCAAGGCTGATATGGAGTGCTGGGCTGGGGCTACAAACCGTCTACGTACTCCGTCTGTGGAACAAAAATTGGATAACCCTGTCGCAAAACCTTGCATCAGATCGCCACGCCTGGGCAGCGATGATTCGAGATGTCTGTCTGTCTGTCTGGATTCAACATAGAACTTGGCACCGAAGTGCACCAGTTCGAGTTGCCACGTTCCAAATAGCACACACACAGGGGTAGACAAGAAGATGAGTGAAGAGAATCAATAGAGTTTGACAAGTATAAGAGTGAAACAGAATGGGTAATGGTAGAAAGGAATATGAAAGATTACAGAGACTGAATACATCTGCGCCATTGACAACGATTTTGAGCCATGTCACCTATTGTCTCCAGCCATTGATTCCTAGAGTCCCGTGGGCCCCAACCCGGGAGTCTGCATCTCCCTACCTGACCTACTCAGTTTAACTGTCAAGGATTTCATGGATTGATGCCATGTTTTTTGTTTGGCCACCACTGGCTCTTTTCCAACCTGCACCTATATCAGCTAGTAATGCCCGTCGGGGGAGGCGATGGTTAGGCATGTGCAGCACATGACCTACCCATCTCAATCTATGTAACTTTATAGCCTCGTCGATTGATTTTCCCTCTTTGCCCAACACTCTACGCCTAACGTCAACATTACTTACCTTATTAAACCACCTAACGTGAGACAGAGGTCGCAGACATCTATGATCGAAAGCAGTCAACCTTTTCATGTCTTCAACGCGTATTGGCCATGTTTCAGAGCCATAGAGAAGGACGGAGCGAACTGCTGAGCAGTACATACGTCCCTTGGTTGATAACCGGATGTCACGCCTACGCCAGAGATGGTGTAAGTCAGCGAAAGCAGCTCGAGCTTTTCGGATCCATGCTGAGATTTCATCGCCAATCAGTCCGTTGGTGCTAATACAACTAACGAGATGTTCATGAAGCCGGCTCATCCTCCCGTAAGAGATGGCCGAAGTAAAGTAAAGTAAGTGTGTCAGTGAGTGATGTGTATCGTCATGCTATTTTAATGTTTTTCTTGATTGACACTCATAGTGTCAGATGCTGTGATCTGAATATTCTTGAATTCCAAAGGAAATGGTGTTGAATTCTCATCGTGACCTGTATAGTTTGTGAATGAGGAATTGAATGCTATGGATTTTCTGTTGTCATTAGAAACTTAAAAATAACCAAATCAAAATATCTCAGTCCAACTGTTGTGGATTTCATTGACTGGTGCCAAGTTTTCGTTTGACCGCCGCTAGCTTTTTTCCAGCCTGACCCTATATCCGCTAACATTGCTCGTCGAGGGAGGCGATGACTTGGCATACGTAACACATGTCCTAACCATCTCAGTCTTTGTAACTTCACGACTTCATCGATTGATTTCCCCTGGTTACCTAGAACTCGACGCCTAACTTCAATGTTGCTCACCTTATTATGCCACTTTACACGGGAAATAGAGCGCAGGCACCTATGATCAAAGACAGCTAGTCTTTTCATATCTTCCACTCTGAGTGGCCAGGTCTCACAACCATAAAGGAGGACGGAGCGGACTGATGAGCAGTACACCCGCCCTTTGGTCGATAGTCGAACATCTCGTCTACACCAGAGTCGGCGTAAACTGGCAAATGCGAAACGAGCCCCCTGTATGCGTGCTGAGATTTCGTCAGAGATCAACCCTTTGAAGCTGATGGTACTTCTCAAATAAGTGAAGCGGTCAACGTGCTCTACCACTTCACTTCCTATTTTTAAACTAGGCGTCGATGTAGTCCAGTCCTGTAACATCATCTTGCATTTGGCTGGAGCGAATCGCATGCCAAACATTCGTAGATTGCAGCTCAAGGTGTTTAGAAGACTCTGCATTTTGTCAGCGTCTTCGCCTAGAAGGACTATATCGTCTGCATATTCCAAGTCAACGAGATTATTCCCTGGTAGCAAGTCAATCCCTGAGTTGCTGAAGTCACTTAGGGTTAAGTCCATTAGCACATCTATGATGAAGTTGAATAGAAAAGGGGATAATGGGCATCCTTGACGGACACCACTAGTCGTCACCAGTTCAGATGACAGCTCGCCGTAAGCCCTCACCTGGCTGTATGAGTACGAGTAGAGTGCCTTAATCAGTGCAGTGTATTTTCTCGGCATTCCCTTTACAGCCAGGCATCTCCAGAGGACTTCTCGATCGACAGAGTCGAAAGCTGATTTTAGGTCAAGAAATACAATGACTGTTGGACGCCGGTAGGAATGCCTATGTGGATATGCATCAATCAGATGTTTATCGCTACAACAACTGACTTATTGCAGATCAACAATCACTGCATTTCTCGATACTAAAACTGTCTCCGACCCCCCTTGGTCAAACCAACGCTGGACACAAATAGACCACATAGCAATAAGCTATCGTTGGCGTGGGTCGGTAGGAGATTGTCGCTCCTTCTGGAACACGTGTGTAGATACCGACCACGCACTGGTCCGCGCTCGGGTGTGCTTACGACTGAACGGACGTAGGAAACAGCTAGCGGTAAAACCACCACGTCCCCAGCTCGATCAGGAAACTAAATCCCTATTTGAGGAAGAACTAGCTAAACACATATCTGTGTTCGACAGCTGTGCTCACCCTGAAGAAGCTTGGAAGAATATCCAGCCATCCATAGATACAGCTGTAAAAGCTGTGAACAAGGTAAACCCAAAGGTGAGTAAAAACCACTGGATCTCCACCACCTCATCCGAACTGATAGATGCTAGAAGACTTATTCCGGCGAGCTCCGAATTCAATGAGGAGCGAAAGCTGCACAAAAGGAAACTCACGAAAAGTCTCCGCAAGGACCGTGAACAGTGGTGGCTGACAAAAGCGAAAGAGATGGAGAAAGCTTCGAGGATAGGCAACTATTTAGACTCATCAGGGAAACGGGTGGGAGAAGAAAAATCATTAGTGAAACAATCTCGGAAAAAATGGCACTATAATTAGCTCCCAGGATAGACGACTGGATCGTTGGAAAGAGCATTATGAGGAGCAGTTTAATTGGCCCACAGCCACGCTCAACCTTCCGAACATCCAACGCCTCCCTGAATGGGATATAGACACAGGTCCTCCATCCCTAACTGAGGTTACTAAAGCTGTCACAAATCTGAAACTAGGCAAAGCAGAGGGACCTGATGGAATGACTCCAGAGGTATTTAAGTACGGTGGAGACAGTTTACTGTCTGCATTAACTGAGGTTCTAGGCAGCATCGTCCCGCCACTCGACTAATGTAGCCTTGGCTGACTCCCAGGAGATTGGTGGGGAGACTAGTTTATGTCGCAGCTGTTATTTTCTGAGTATTAGGTTTACTATTCTTATGTCGGATCCCAACTCCTTAGCAGTTGTAATAATGGCTTATCGTGTTAAAGGTGTATGTCGGTTGGGTTTGAAACCCGATGCACATCAGTGGTCGGAGAGCATTCTGCCTCTGTGCTACTAACGGTCTGTGTTTATGTTATCACTATTTAGTAATCTTTGTTCTCAATACTGCTTCATTTCAGATTTCCCAAACTGAAACTTCAGTAAAAAGACAAGGTATTTATTTATCGGATTCACCGTATTGGATATCCATAACACACAACCTTATTGGTCTTGTTTCTCATTCGAATGTAGTCTGTATTGGCATTGTTCACAGTTGGCTGATGGATTTGTTAGCTATATCAAAGTCTACTACGATTATTCGTCACGTTTTGTATGTGCGAATTTTTCAGTGCTTCTGTTTTAAGATGTAACAACTGGTAGTCCTTTTCAACGATAAATCAAAATATTGAAAGTAATGCGGTATAGGTCATGTGATAAAATGGACCACCATGTTATCATTTTAACGTATGCACTGTCTTTGATTGCATAGATGAATTACATGTCTGTTAATTTACGTATATCAGTTCTGATATATATAGATATCCGATTTCAAATAGTTATTCCATTCGTTAACCGTCGCTAGCTTTCGCGAAATCGCTCACTTCTGTCCACTTTGAGTACCCAGTCGCCTTGTGTGAGAACCAAGCATTTTGATTTAGTTGTCATTGATATAAATAGCCCCTTTCTCCTCATCTCTCCTTGTTCATCAGTCGTACAAATCTATAGTGCACATTTAAGTTGGTTTTCCGTTAGTCTGTGTGACGGTTCGAGCACATGCCCATTTGAAGTTCATTGTCTTGCTCTAAGATATGCTCGGCGTGCACCTCTTGTAGATTGAATTTTGTTGATGTATCATATTGTATTTCAAAAGCCACTATTTTCGTCGTCTTGGTTCTCGAATTAATAGGACGTACAAACTGAATAGCTATTAGCTAGGTACATCAGAGTATGCTTTACATTGCTAGTATCTTCAACTATGTGTAATATATGGTACTAATCCACACTTAAATTAATATTCTTTTTTTGTAGACGAATGCAGTTTATGACGCATCGTGCAATTCTTCTCATTCGCCTGCCCAGAATGAAAATAATATACCATTTACGGATATTTCTGCACAGTCATGCTTTACTGCGTCACCTGATAAGATATCTGTCTTATCGCAAGATAAATTGGAA